CACACAATAGAGTATTACTCAGCAATCAAAAAGAATGAAATCTTGCCATTTGCAACTATGTGGATGGCACTAGAGGGTATTATGCTAAGTGAAATTAGTCAGAGAAAGACAACTATCATATGACTTTACTCGTATGAGGACTTTAAGATGCAAAAACAGATGAACATAGGGTAAAGGAAGCAAAAATAATATAAAAACAGGGCGGGGACAAAACATAAGAGACTCTGAAATATAGAGAACAAACAAAGGGTTACTGGAGGGGTTTTGGGAGAGGGCATGGGCTAAATGGGTAAGGGGCATTAAGGAATCTACTCCTGAAATCATTGTTGCACTATATGCTAACTACCTTGGATGTAAATTTTTAAAAAATAAATAAATAATGTGTGCTTACAGGGGTGCCTGCGTGGCACAATGGTTAAGCATCCAACTCTTGATTTTGGCTCAGGTTATGATTTCCCAGTTCGTAAGTTCAATGCCTGCCTTGGGCTCTGCACCAAAAGTGGGGGATTCTCTCTCTCCCTCTCTCTCTGCCCTTCCCCTGCTTGTGTTCTCTCTTTCTCTCAAAATAAATAAACTTAAAAAAACATATGTGCTTATAGTCTGCAGAATTTTACATTAGTGACCTCTGATACTTTTCTAAATCTGAGAAACTGGAAGCTCAACATCCACAGCTAAATTTCATTAAGCAGACATACTTACTATTTGAATCATTTTGAACAAGTTACTTAATTTTCTGAGCCTCTGCCTAATTTATTTTATGCCATATCTCAGCTCAAGAATTGACCATGACACTGTGGTCCCTAATATGACAAATCTAAATGCTCTTATTCATTCACTCAACAAATATGTATTGAAACCTTACTAGCTCTGAGGATGCAGCAATGAATATAACCAAAGGTAAGGTCCCCACTCTGACAGAGTTAAGCACCTCTTGCTTAGGTCCCACCAACAGCTATTTCCTTTTGCACTATAAGGTCATCCAGCCTCATCAGGGCTTCTCCAGTTAAACTGTGAGGGACGACTGTCCTTTTTCTTCTCTACCTGGAATACCTGTACATTTTCTCACCAACAGTCACTATTTAGCTTTTGCTCTAAGTTCACCCTGAAAAGTTACACCCTTAAGGAAATCATCCCAGACTTAACAATTATTTGTTTACTATGTTTATTTCACAATTTATTTAGACAGTACATGTGGTTTTCATTTGTACATATCTCTTGACAGCTCTTGCAAATATTTCTTGTCTTCCAAAGTTGATTATAAATGTATGAGTTAAAACCTGTGTCTTCTTTTTTGTTAATGGTAGAGACTGTTTACTATCCCCTAACATCCATTCTTATCTTCCTCCTTTTAATACTAGAACTCCCTAAAATTCAAAGTACATGGCTGCCCAGCTAGAGACTACATTTCCTAGCCTTCTTTGCAACTAGGTAAGGTCATAGAGACTAAATTCTGGCCAATGGAATGTCCGCAGAAGTAATACATGCAAGGGCCAGGATTTCTTGCCCTCTACTTCCTTAATCCTCTTCTTATGGGCTGGAACATGATCTTGAAAGTGACCAGTCATCTTGGACATTGCCGGTGAGGGCAAACCAACCCCAAAGGAATGTTAAAACAAGAGAGATCATCTGGGATTCTGAGCTACCTTTTGGAGAAGATTTTTGTTATTCTACTGCATGACCTATGAGCTAAGATTTTTATCCAGTAGAAAAATAAACTTCTTTCTTGTTTAGGTCACTGCTATCAGTATTTTATAAAACATGCAAACCAATAATCTAACATAATGCTCTTTATGGTACTTGACATAAAATACTATGAATGGAGTGCTAAATAAATACTGATTGAATGAATATATGCATATATATTCATGTGTATATTCATATGTATATGTATATGTATATTCATATATGTATATATATTCAGATATATATATCTGAATTCAATAAATAAATATTCACTAATAAAGTGATTTGGTGGGGGTGGGGGTGGGTTTTTCCCCCCAAATGTTATGTGTTCTTGTTCATTATGTGTTTAAAAGAGAAAGGCGGGTTCTGATTTTTTTTCACTGAGCTATATTCATTTTCTTGGAAATGTTATATACTATCAATATACTCTATCCTTCTAATGTCACTGAATAAGAGTTTTGGAAGGAATATCTGAAATAGGATGGTCTGGCATTAAATGTTGGCATTAAAAGAGAGAAGTTTTAAGTAACTGGGACCCATACAGAAATTTTAGTTTTAAAATTTGTAAAGAACTATGGTCACTGTTGACCTCTATAGCTCATGCTGCTCACCTATGTCACCACCACTTCCCAGGACCACAAAAGCAGAGGAAACAACATACCTCCAAATCTCCTGAGATATTGGCACCAGCAAGAATCCCAGTAGCTGCGGGGAAAAAAATGGCAAAGACAGAGAAGAAGCCTTCACCTTTTGTGAAGCTTGGCCCAAAGTTTTCCGCAAATATTGATGCTGTAACACAAGTAAAGAGAAAATTATCATGTAGACTTTCTTTACAGAGCATGAGATTGGTTTCCTTTAGTTTCTATCAATGTCTTATGTAAATGTTTCCCTATATTTTAAATGGAAGGAACTTGAAGAGATTGGTGTACTCCTGACAAACCTCATACTCATGTTTGCCGAGAGTCAAGGTTGTAGCTTTCTAGAACAGCTCTGAAAAACTTTTGTGCCAACAGAGACCCAGGCCTCCTGACTTTTTGAATCTTTCTAGATTGAAAAAGGGGGAAATGGAGAATGTTTCTCATGGCTATACTGGCATATTTGCAAATATACCACACACGTGCACTGCCCTATACACACACAGCTACTTTCTTCCATGCATAAATACTCTAATCAACACACAGATTTTCTATGCTTTTTTTTTAATTGTAGGAAAGCCCTGTGGGTGAAACTATCTTATGATTTTGCTACTTATGTTTACCCTCCCCATTCCCTGCTCCCAGATATTAGATCTTAAATTCTTATAGCAAATTCTCATATACAGAAGTTTAATATAGTGAAGAGCCTTCGTCATAAAACAGTACTATTCCATGAGGTCTCAGCAAATTATTTAAATTAGAAGCAAACAATGCAGAAGAAAAACAGAAAAAGGAAGGGAGAAAAATGCAAACAAAAGAATCTGGCCTGATGCAAAAACAAGGAAAGAGAATTTGAGTCATCAGAAACAATACAGCAGGAGCTAGGACTCAGAAAATATATAGCAGGAGCTAGAAGGAGGGAAAGGGATAGAAAGGAAAAAGGACGTTAACATACAAAGCAAACAAGACAAACTTTACAAAGAAAAAGATACAGGTAGAAAGGGGTGATGGGATACCTAAAGGAAACAAATACTAATAATAAATAATGAAGAGAAATATTTTTTTAAATCTCAGCAGTGGATTCTTGAGTAAGCTAGAATGGACAGCTAGGAAGGTGTACATAGGTGGAGTAGAATTTCATGCTCAGTATGATTCCCTCAGGATGATACACCAGCTCCTACAATCTTTTATGCTTGAAAACCTGACAGTGATGCTTAACTAGATATCACTAGATAATCCTAGAGATAAGCAAGGTACAAAGAAGTTTAGAAGGGGGCACCTAGGTGGCTCCGTCCATGGAACATGCGACTCTTGATCTCAGGGTTGTGAGTACAAGCCCCATGTTGGGCATAGAGATTACTTGAAAATAAAATCTTATGAGGCACCTGGGTGGCTCAGTACGTCGGGCGTCTGACGTTGGCTCAGGCCATGATCTCACAGTCTGTGAGTACAAGCCCTGCGTTGGGCTCTGTGCTGACATCTCAGTGACCAGAGCCTGCTTTGGATTCTCTCTCTGTCACTCTCTGCCCCTGCCCCACTTGTGCTCTCTCTCTCTCTCTCTCTCTCTCAAAAATAAACATTAAAAAAATTTTAAACACAATAAAATATATATTTTTTAAGTCTAGCAGGAAAAGGACTATGTTGGACTTTAGTACTCTCAATGGTTGAGCAAATTGCCTGACCTATGTTCTCTTTCCTTGCTTATACAACTCTACTTCTACTATTTGATAGCAACAACAATTTGTCCTACACTTGAAGGTTTTCAAGGAACTTTTGCATCCACTACCTTATTTACTTCTCAAAAATCTCTTCAGGAAGTTATTGTTATCACCCACTCTTGGTCAGGGAAATTTGAGACCCAAACATGTTAGGTGACTGGTCTAGCTGGGAAATAGCAGAGTTGAGACTCACTGCGGATTTCCTGAAACCAACCCCAGGCTCTTCCCTGGATTGCACTGGCTGGGATTGCACTGGGATTGCACAGGCTCTTCCCTGGATTGCACTGGGATTCTAATGGCTGAAGTGGGGGACACAGGGATGGTGATGGAGGTGGACAGGGGAGAACCACTGATTGCAAAGCAACTAATTTGTCACACGTACCTTGGTAGTTAAAGAAACCTCTGGACTTCTTCTCATTGTTGGATGGAATGACGGTTCCAATAAAGAAGTTTGCAATAGCAATGAGAAGAATGACCAGAAGTATCACTTGAGCCTGGAATGACAAAGAAAAAGGAGGCCAACTTAGATTCATTTAACAACTCTTCACCTAATTGTAAAAGTAATGTCCACTGAAGAAAGATTCTACCTGGTTATTCTGATTAAAACTACTATCCAATAGGCAATAGTGTATCCTTGTAGGATACACTATGTCTGACCTGAGTGTAGCTGTTAACATTTTCAGTGGGCACATCTGCTTGTGCACTTGAAGGTGACATTTCAAAAATATTCCAAGTACTAGGTGGTAACTTGCTGCAGTGTCCTTAGGAACATAAATGGAGTCCAAAGTTTTATCACTGATAGAGTTTATTTCTTTTCTAGACAGACTGCCTATGGATTCTTTCTTACCTTTCCCAGTGCTAAATGCAACAGGAGTATGAGAACATGATGATTCATAGAGCTCCTGTGATGCCTCATGCATCTGATGTTGGGCCACCAGTGTGTGCTCAGCACAAGCAATTTGCAAGGTTGACCAATCAAATTGTCTTTCTTTATCCCCCCTCTCCTCCTGCTGACATTTCAAGAGTCTTTTGGCTTGGCATTCCCATATGCTGCTCCCTCTGCAGGGAACTCTTTGCATAACTATTTCCTTCTTCTCATCCTTGAAGTCTTAGTTACCTCTTCAGAGAGGACTTTATTGACCACTGAATCTAAATAATAACAGCTATCATTCACTGAGGGCTTACAACAACAGAGACAGATTTAATTTTACCGGTATTCTTTCAGATAGATAATACCACCAATAACTGTATGAAGTAGGCAACCTTATTATCATCATTTTAAAGATAAAGAAACTGAGGCACAGAGAATTTAGGCAACTTTCTAAAAGTCACACAGATGTAAACCAAATTCAAATTCAGGTGCTCTGACAACAGAGCTAGCGCTTTAAATCTACCCTCTACTGCCATGAAACTACATTGCGTCCCTGAGGGAATAAAGTCATTGTAAGTAGATTCCTCTTATTTTGTATCTCAGTGCCCTGTTCAGTTCCTTTACAGCACTTTCACAACTTACCTTTTTATATTTACTCGTTTATCTACTTGATCATTACTCCTATTCCCACAGACCATATGCTCAACTAGGGCCAGGATTGTGCCTGTTTTGGTCACAACAGAATATCCTAGCCTAGCAAAATGCCCAGCATATAATAAGCCCAGCACATAATAAACACTTAATTAATTTTTGTTTGATGTGTGAATGTATAATCCACAAATAAATGCCATATGGGAATGTTTCCCATTGCCTTATGTAGGTGGGTGACTTTGGCCCCCTTTGTATCTCTGGTGACCTCTTGAGGTCTAAGCACTGCATCTCCAGGCACTTACGACCAGTTGCAATTATACCAGTCACTGTAGCGTTATAAATCAGGAAAAATACATGCTCCTGACATGCAGAAATTTACTAACTGTATTACTATTAGTTAAATCCAGATATTCTCTAGTTCCAGGGCCTTATGATGACCCCAAATTTGCTCCTGTACTACTGTGTCTCCTGGGAGAATGATAGTTCCTGCCTCTATTACCTTCTCCCATCGCACTTGCCATTTCCTTTGGGCTTCAGCACCATAGCCAGCTTGAAATGGGATACCAGGGGTGTGACTAGGAGACCCAGTTTCCAGCATGTACCACTGCTGTGATCATAAGGGGTCTGTATGTGAAAATGGCAGCAATGTTGGTGTGTATGTCACATGGTGACAGCATAAAGAACAAAGCCCAGCCCAATCAGGTGACACATGAGCTGAGTCGTGACTGCCTGGACCTCGTGCTCTGAGGGCTTGGTGCTCTTCCCATTGCTAACCCACAACTTTTGCCATAGCAAGTAATAATAGCAATTCTTTTAGAATACAGGGTTTGTTCTATTCCTGCAATTTGGCCAAGACCTGAGCAGCAGTGGGTGATAGCACCATTTTGAGAAAATCACCTTTGCTTCCCATTCCATTCCAGCTACTGAAATTCCTAAAAGAATCACCACTGTGATGGAGCCTATTATCCGGATGTCATTGGTTGGATCCACCATCATTGAATTGCTCTCCTGGAACAACAACAGAAATCATTAAAATGGTTAGAGATGGAGCTTTTTTGGCCTGTATGTCTTATTATAGAAGAGACACTGTGCACTCATGTCTGGGGCTCTATAGGATAATAGAAAAATGAAGTGCTCCTAAATCTGAGATGAACATTATTTTGTCCTATAATAATAGGCCATTGTTAGCCAAGTTTGGAAGTTCTAGATGGTCATTCTACTCACAGATTTTAAAGCTATTGTAGCACTAAGGTAAGTATGTGCCCTTATAAATACAATGTTTTCTTTCAGAAGAATGACTAGTTATTTTTGTGTGTCAAGGGGAATCTTAGAGAAATAAAAATGAGTGGTTTCCAACGTGAATATTGGAAAATAAGTGTCATTCAGTTAAACTACAGAAACCAGATAATGCATGTCTTAAAGATCATGTACCTTATGAACTATATAATTCACTCATTTATTCATTTAATTTTCAAATAAAGGTCCTGCTATGAATTGGATTCAGTGAATGCTATTACTTCCATAAAAGGAGGACTACAAGTTAGTTCACATACCAGCTAATTAACATGGTCACATACATACCATCTAGATGGAGCACCTAAACTAGGAAATGCTTAATTTCCTGCAGTGAGTTATTCGAATGTTTGAACTTTCTTTCCCTTTTGTAAATCTATAACCATAATAGTAATATTGCTACTGAAAATAATGTTCATCATTTATCTTTTGTTTCATATTTTACACAGTATTTCATTTGTTCTGTACTACATTTCTATTAAATACATAGAACAGTATTATTAGCTCATATGACAGATTTGAGAAAAAGAGTTCAGAACAATAGAGGGACTGGCCCAGAATCCTCTCAGCTGATAAATCTGAGAATCGGGATTCCAAGCCAGTTCTGATGCCAAGCCCAGAGCTCCTTCCACTATATCCAACTTCCACATTCTACAGAATAAATGTATTTCCTCTCATCTTGCCATGGCGATAACCCCTAGTGCCCTGAAAAGGCAAATTGAACTGAATTATCTTAGTTGGCTGAAAAAAAAAAATTTTAATTACCTTAAGAAGATCTACCACTGTTTCAGCAAATCCCACCACATACATAGCAACAGCCACTGCATTGGCAAAAGCAAAGATCAAGCCTATAGACCCACCGAACTCGGGCCCTAAGCTTCTGGAAATAAGATAGTAGGCCCCACCTAAAACAAAAAAATGAACATGTTTTACTTTGAGGAACTGCTAAGGGATTTAGTTTATATGACCAAATAATTTTGAATAATTTTTATTCTAATGAAAATATCGTAACTTCCTAATAATTTTAGGAATCTTGTATCACTTTAATGAATAACTTAGCCTTTTCTTGTACTCTGAGAACTGTAATAGAATTTAGTAGAACTATCCTTACTTAGTAAATTCTGATTTATCGAAACCTAATTGTATACAAAGTTTACAAATAATACAGCTAACTTTACCAAAACAAAATGCTTTGCCTTTAAAAAAAATTCATTGGTTTGGGGTGCCTAGGTGGCTCAGTTGGTTAAGCATCTGACTTTGGCTCAGGTCATGATCTCACGGTTTGTGAGTTCAAGCCCTGCATTGGGCTCTGTGCTGACAGCTCAGAGCCTGGAGCCTGCTTCGGATTCTGTGTCTCCCTCTCTCTCTCTGCCCCTCCCCTGCTCATGCTCTATCTCTCTCTGTCTCTCAAAGATAAATAAATGTAATAAAAAAAATTTTTTTTAATTCATTGGTGAGTTCAAATCAATGATGTAACCAATGAAAAAAACTTTGTATTTGGAATGTCCAGGAACAGGCAGCCCTAGGCAGAAAATGATATAGGAGATGTATATCATTGCTATTCTAACTTCCTTTCTGGTATAATTTTCTGGTATATATTTGCTGCATAAAAAAAGTATTTGTATAGTGCTATGTATTATCTACTCTATAAATCAGAATTGGTTCTCTACCCTTTTAGCTCAAGAAGGCATGATTATTGCCAAATACCCACATGTGTATGGGTGGCCAATGGGAAGAAAGAGAGGGTTTGGAACAACTGTTTCTCCTCTGGACCTTGAATAAGGTAGTTCTATATATGGCCATGTACCTATGTGCACAGGGAAGCCTGAGCTGGACTGGTTAGCTTCTAGAGTGTACTGAGAGCAGGTAAAAAAGACAAGGTATTGAGAGGCCTAGATAGCTAGGTATTATCACGAACCATAGTAAATTAATGGCTTTCTACAGTGAGCTAGTCTTAGAGTGGACAGAATTGGTAAGGGAACGACACCGAACAGACATATCTCAAAACAAAACACAACTATCTTTTACGGAAAAGGAATTTCCTCCACTGTAGTAACTCCTTTGGGTTAAAAGGTCAAAGCTCTCTTCAAAAATGTAACCAATTATCTGGGTGGAGCAAACTGCCATTATTTCCTTTGTCCAGATTACATTAGATAAATTAGCTAGCCAGTCACTTAGGCTTGGTCAAAGTGAGAGACTAGCAGGGGAAGCTCTGAGAGCAGGTGTATTTGTCAGAGGAGGAGGCCCTTAAAAGGCCCTGGGAAGGGGCACCTGGATAAGCTACCCAAGCTGAGGCCCCAGGAGTCAAACAGAATGGGAGGGGGAAGGCAGGAATTAGAACAGCAATGATAAACCTCACCCCCTTCATTTTCTGCCTTAGCTTGCATATTCCTGGATGATTTAAAAGTAACTCTTTGTTATGTTTGTTGGTTTCTATTTTCTTCTTAAGGATTTTCTCAGGCCTGTTAGCCCCTAGAAGTATAGCATTGGGGTGAAATCTGAGGGCTAACTAAGCGGGAAGTGTCAGCCGGGGTGCTGAGTGGGCCTGGCAGAGAGCCAGCAGGGCTCATCCAAGGTACAAAGCAACCATGTATTTTACTGTAATTATCTATGCCTTCTTTCTAGACACCTGGTCACTCTCTGTAAACATGTTTAATCACAGGAAATAGGTCAAAGAAAACATCTAGCGGTCTCTTAATTTCAGTTGAGAGAATTTTGCCTTGATGTTCAAATTTGGGTTAGCTCACTTTGTTTTAAGGCTTTGGGGACTAATTATTTAGATGCAGATTTTACTTCCAGCATTAAACCGACTCTGGACATTACTCTGTAACCAAAGCTTGTCGTCATAAGCAAATGAATTGGCTTACCTCCTCTTACTACTCCATTTGTGCAAATGGCAGACATAGAAATACCTGTGAGTGTCGTCACTACCACACTCAGGCCAATGATGATGACTCCAAGACCTGCAAAATCCCCCAAGAAATGTGTTTGGCTCCAGCACGTCCAGAGGCAGCAGTCTGAATTGTCAAAGAAGGATCAGTCTCCCCACGAAAAACCTGAAATGTTCTAAAAGATCCCATTCCATGAAGATCTAGGAAGCACCTGAAATGTACTAAACTTTAAATTAAAGCCACATCCAGGAATCCTTTCCCAAGAGACACCGGCAAGAGGTATGCAGCCTCGCCTGGAAAATAAAACATTCACCTACAGAATTCTGAGCATCTGGAAACCATGAGCTGCAATGCGCCAGAGAGATCCGTTAGAGACGATCCCACCGCTGACCAGCGTAGACCAGGACTGCACTCATAGTACCTTATGTTTCCTTCTGCATCCAGGTCACTTGTATAGTCCACCAGGCATCAAGAGCATTGGGTTACTTGCTTATTCCAGTCAAAAAGGAGTATATAAAAATTTTGCCTACCCGTAGCAAGTGATGAGGGCATTAGATATCTTAGAAATGTTACCTCCACGAACAAACCCGTTAGTTGCTATTGCAGAAGTTGACAACCCAGTAATAGAAGTTACCATGGTGGAAAGAAGAATTATGAGAACTCCAAGACCTGTTAGCAATGAGAGATAGAAGATATTACATTTCACTTTTCTGACTTGGATTCCCTGTTGTTGCAAACTATATACTGCCTTGAATTTAAGTTTTCCTGACCATGCCTGGGCCCCAGTGGAGTTCCTTTGTGCTCAGGAGAACCTGGTTGGCCTGGCATAAAGATCAAGTCGGCGGCCTGCTCATTACGATGGAGGATGGTTTCCAAAAGTAAACACAATCTGAAATGCGGCCCTGAAAAGGAAAAGTTGACTTCTGCTGGTGTCCTGGGAGAGAAACTACCCTGGCTGTGAAAAGAGAAAACATGACATCTGACCTTCTCTCTTGCTTGAGAGGAACCTGAATGAGAAAGTTGGGGGTTTGACAAAGGTTAAATCCTTCCTCATTTTTCTCGCATCTCTCTTGCCTGAAGGAAAAAAAAAAAGAAGCCAACTTGGATTACCTTTGAAAACACTCCAGAAAGGTCAGTGGTGAACTATCTGAGTCTTTGTTGCCTTTACCTTACAAATGATCGTGCGGGTCACAAGTTTAATTACCTCCTCTGACATATCCATTTGTGGCAATAGCAGAGGTGGATAAACCAGTGATACCAGTCACTGTCACGGCTAAGCCGATGATAATCACACCAAGACCTCAGTTGGGAGAGGAAAAATAAAGGCAATTAAACAGTGCAACAATCCATCAGATCGTTCACATAAAAGCCAGCAAATGGAGGGTAATCAACAAAGAACCACATCTGAATTAACAAATTGGCCTGGAAATCACCAGAGTAAGTGCTCAGCTTTGAAGTTTTCTGCCTGTAGTAGCACAGAGCCTAGAAACCGAAGAGCTAAAATGTGCAGTGAGAATTGCCCACAAATGAACAACAATGGCTGGTCAAAATGTAGTGGGAACCCCATTTTTTGTGCAGTTCTAGACACCTGTAAACATAATAATTCATCAATATGAGTCCAAGCTGCCTTTAGAACTAGACAGGAAATGTTCACCCTTCCAGATAACTCTCTTTTTATGTACATTTGGTTGTGTAGGAGTGGAAAATTACATCCAATGTAACAAATTGTTTATCTGGCAGATAAGTAAAGTGGAAAGAATCAAACTGAACTATGTTCACTTATTGGCTTTGTGACCTCTGGCAAGTTACTTATTTTCTGAGCCAAAAATGGCAATGAGATTAGAAAGAATACATGTGTAAAAGTGGCTAGCAGAGCACATAGAACACAGTACACGATCAGTGGCACTGCTTTTTGATTGTGTCCATGATAGTTATAATAGCTGTTGCTTACTGAAAGCCCACTATGTATCCAACTATGGGTCAAGTAGAATGAGAAATGCAAGGAACAAATAAAATGAAATGAAAAAAGCTGCCCTCAAGGATCTTATGGTGCAGAAGGTCAATGATTATAAGAGGGAGAAAGTGATAAACCAGAATTCAGAGAAAGGCAAGGCTGCTTTCAGCTTCAGGAAGCATACAGTCAAGAGGATACTGAAGGGTAGCAGAATATGCTATCTCCAAATGTACCACTTTTGCATAAAGTATATTTTTAGCTAACGGCGGCAGAAAAAAAGCAGCTACCTTCCCATATTTGTCTGAAAACAAGGCATAAATTTGTAAAGGTGTCTCTACTTTCCTCTATACCAGGAAGGACAGAAGTTAATCATCAGAGGTAATTCTAGACCCTTACTGGCTGGAGTAGTGCCAGAAGAACCTACATAACAGCCTTGACTTAATTTCCATGAGTTCCCTCATGTATCTGCCTTCCCACAATCTGCCATCCTAGAAACTCAGTCCTTTTCCTTTGTCTTGTCACTTCTCTAAGAATACATTGTTCTTTGTTAAGATGTTATGTAAGCCAGGGGCCCCAGGGTGGTTCGGTCGGTTAAGCGTCCGACTTCAGCTCAGGTCATGATCTCATGGTTTGTGAGTTGGAACCCCATGCTGGGCTCTGTGTGGACTGCTCAGAGCCTGGAACCTGCTTTGGATTCTGTGTTTCCCTCACTCTCTGCACCACCACTCCCTCAGCCCCCACTCACACTGTCTCTGTCTCCGTCTCTCTCTCAAAAATAAATAAACATTTAAAAAGTATTTTTAAAAAGATGCTATGCAAGCCCAAGTTCTAACCACTCTGTTGAGTTACTCATTGCTGAGTCTTCTCATGTGGACACATGATGCACATGTTAATAAATTTCTGATTGTTATTCTCTTGTTAGGTTGCCTCTTGCCACTGTTAATAAAGAAGTTTAGGGTCACAGGCACTGAAATCACCCTGGTTCTAGTGAGAATGCTCTTGCCTACATATGCTCCCCTACATAAAATGGATGCTTCATAATTGTTGTTGGCAAGCTGTCTTGTTCCAGGGATAATCAGAACAGTAGTCATCTGAGAAAGGCTGTGATCTCTCTGGCCATGCCCTGGGAAAAGGGGAAGTGGAAGGAAATGAAGGACAGACATAAATGGAAACAAGGTATTGGAGGTTGCCTCTCTTGATGGTCCCAGCTGTATCCTGGCTCTAAAAGAAGTCTCTAGGCTATTTTACAGTTTGAAGTACAGTAGGAGGAGGCTAACTATAGGCATGAGATACAAACTTGGACCATATGGCTTTGGCCCCTACAGACTCTTAAAGCTTGGAGTTGCAAGAAATAGTTGCACTAAATTCTTTGAATCTATTGCAGGGATCCTTTGGTACATATTACCTCTGCATCACCATGTGGCCTGTTCTTTGCACCTCTACAAGTAATTTCTTCTTATCTTCTGCACACGATTTTGCTTTTGCTTTTGTTTTGAAGACATTTGATATCAAATGTTTAGCTCACCCCAGCAACTGTACAGAACTAAATAGTTTGTATTTCAGGACATGAAACCTACTTTGACTATTATTTTCATACCCTTATTTTCCCTTTGCTTCTATTTTCCCAACAATTCTTATTTATTCTTTTGCACTGTATATATTTCTGTAAACCATTTGAAATCCTAGAACAAAGTTTTATACACTTAAACAGCAACATATTTGCTTTTCTTGAAAGGGCCGGCCTACACCAGCCGACTCCATCTTGTTCTGTGTCCTTCACCTTGACCACACCTCCTCCCCTTGAGTAACCCCCCCTCACCTGCCTAACAGGACTCGACCCTTCCCCAGGACCCTTCCCCAGCCAATCGACTGAGGCCATAGCCATTACCTCACCAACTGCCCCCAGGCCCCAATAAAACCTTTGTCCTTTTGAAACTCGCTCTCTTTCCCTGGTATCTCACCGCTGCGTCGGTGCAGGTAGGGGATTGAGCTCGAGCTAGCTCGAATAAAGGCTCTTTGCTTTTGCATCGGACTCGGCTCCCTAGTGGTCTTTGGGGATCACGAATTCTGGGCATAACATTCTCTCACAATCAAACAAAAAAATCCCAGGGTAAAAGGCAGGTTAGAGAACGTTCAGTTCATAGTTTTCTCAAAGTGTGGTCCTTAAACCACCTATTTCAGGAAATACCTGAAGTGTTTATTAAAAATGCCCAGACCTGTTGGGATGAGCACTGGGTGTTATATGGAAACCAATTAGGCAATAAATGTCATATAAAAAAAATGCCCAGACATACTAAGTTGGAATCTTTCAAAGTGAATCCCAGGATTCTGTGGTTTTGGAACCGAACTTCCCAGGTAATTCCTATGCACCCCACAGTCTGAAGACTATCGCACTACCCTAACCTATCTCAAGTTGTGTCTGTCTAGACAGCACAGTTATCTAGCTTTATCTTCAAAGAATTGATTAGGAAACAGTGAATCCAGGTCCTTAATTTTCAGATGAGAAAATGAAACTCATGGAATGACTTGCTTTAGGTCATACCTCTTTCACTCCCTTCTTCCATGCCTAATGTTTAAATTTATTAGAAACCATCTTGCCCCAGCCTAAGTCCCCTAGACAGAGAACAATTTTATGACATTTTGGGCTTATTCTACCATTTGCTTTTGGGGAAAAGACAGCCAAAACTCTTGGCCCTAGAATGGTTACCCAAGGGCTGTAGCTACTGTTACTCTTGGCTCCAGCTTCTTTCTGACTTTGTTCCTAGGGTCTCCTCTTGAAAGGATCTTCCCTAAACGATCCCAAATCAAGGAGAAACTACTTGTATTTGCTTCTTTTCTTACCCAATAAAGGGAATCTAAATGGGACCCAGAAGGTGACTTAATCAACTCATTTAGCTTTAAGTTCACAGCAAAGGCCAGTAAAACTGAGTAAGGGTGGTAATAAGTTTCTATGACTCACTGAAGTCTACTTTCTGAGAACTAAAACAACAACAAACAAACCTTCATTCAAAGGAAAACCCACTAGACACCCATTTAAAGTAGGATATGACTACTTAAAGGAAAGGTCCTTATTAAAACAACACTGATGTCTGAAAGTATAATACATAGTTTAGCAGAAGATAGGGTTCTTCATGTTTTACACTTTTGCAGTAAGCATGAAACTGGATTGACTGTAAAGAGTAATGTAAGATCTGATTAAGGTTCAGGTTATCGCTTAACACATGGATGTTAAATAAGTTGCGTTAGAAAGAATTACTCTTGCCCTTGGCTACACTCACACCTCCAAACAAAGTAATGCTGCTTGATGATCTCAATAAGTTACTAAACTGCCCTTAAAAAACTAATTTTGCATGAAACCCTGGGGCAAACACTTGGCAATATTAAGATGCAGATTTTCCATGGAACAGCATCTACTTATTTCGGACCCTGCGGCTATAAGCATTCATTTGATATGCATCATAAAGCTGGCAAGCAGCCCTTTGTCAGGAACCCAGCACTTGCCAAACATGAAACATGGAAAAACTATGGGAACTGGTTCCAGTGTTTCAATTTACAACTCAGCCCTTTCTTTTTGTGAGTTAGTCTTCCAGTCTGCCTTGAGGAGCAAAGGCGATAAATAATGACTGAGTAACTTTGAATGTGAATTGGGATATGTTCTGGAGTAGTATCTAAAAGCACATCTGAATCTCTATGTTCTTGACACTAATGATTTATAGGTCTTCTCCAAAAGTGGATTTGTAATACATTTTCCATACATAAAGTAGAACGTCACTAATTTTTATCACATTAAATCAGGAACTTTGATAAAATTCAAGGAAATTTTTCATATAAATTATATCTATATACTCTTGATTAAAAAAAAAGATTTGCCACAGGAAATCATGTTTTAAGTAAAATATAATCTTCAAAAATGTCAAAGAATCACTCAAAATAATCTCAACATCATGCATTTTCCATTAGAAAAATTATAAGTAGGGGCACCTGGGTGGCTCAGTCGGTTAAGCATCCGACTTCAGCTCAGGTCATGATCTTGAGTTCATGAGTTTGAGCCCCACGTTGGGCTCTGTGCTGACAGCCCAGAGCCTGGAGCCTGCTTCAGATTCTGTGTCTCCCTCTCTCTCTGCCTCTATCTCCCTCTCCCTCTCTCTCTCTCTCAAAAATATACAAAAACATTTTAAAAATTAAAAAAAAAAGAAAAATTAGTGGTAGTTACACATGTTATCTCAATCATTTCATCTATCACGTTTAAGCCTCTGTCTGGCATATTTTGTTAATTTTTGTTTTCTTACCACTGATACCTGAAAGTAACACAATTATTTTCTTTGGCAAATGTTCAACAATTCAGCATTTCTATTAGTCAGGTCACATTGTTCCCACTTTTCCCACAAGCTGTTCTTGTTGAGTGAAATTTTGCCAATAAGCATAAGGGGGATGCACAAATGTCAGTATGTCCCAAACTATGAATAGTACTGTTTAAAATATATGTGTCCCTACAGATCTGTACACCTAAAACTTTAAGAACAAATAGAAATATTAAATTGAGCATTTATCTGGTTGGTAAACTGGAAAATTCCAGTCTCCCAGAAGTTAACGCTACACTTTCCTCTCTGACAAACATGGTCAAAGAGGCAAAGTAAAAGAGCTCGAGTGTAGATTATTTCTGTGACCTCCATCTCACATTCAGCATTAATGGTGAAAACAAGTTGCTTATTGAGCTTATAATTGACACTGAAAATGGTATACGGGGCATGGGGAAACATGCTTACCGATTCCAGCTTCTCCAACAATCCAAGACAGGCGAATGAAGAGCATGACACCCCAGATATTCAGCATGCATCTTACCTGTGGGCCAAAGGAGCATTGAAAGGGATATGAGCAGTGATAGTGGGGCAAAACCCAGCCATGTCCGTAACTCTGTTGTCCAGGATTTGCTAACATTTAGTCCACTAGGACACGGAACAAACAGATTTCATTTGGAAACATAGGAGCCTTCTCACCAGCACACCTTTCACCCATCCAAACTTCACAACGCCAGCTTTATCCTCCTCTTCCTTGTTTTCAACTTCTTCATCTCCAGGCATTCCATCTCCGTTAGCAACCCTGTCAGCTGAACCTGGTGCCACTGCTACGTTCTGTATTTATACAGGTAGCAAAAAAACACACAATATTTGGTCAACAGAAGTCTCCAGAAAACTTTCAAAGGCAAATCAAAATAACTGACATGAAATTTTGGACACATCAAATTCTAGCATGCACATAAGGTAAGTATTTTCTTGCCCTGGGAGCTGATGGATTCATTTTGTGAGAGATTTCAGGCGCAGCAAAGCTGCAAAGGATCTTGGGCAGTCCTACGGGTGAGAATATTACCTTAGGGGAAAATGGTTAGATTTAGGTAAATTTAGAATACAAAAAGAACAAACAAAAGAAAAAGAAACAAAGGCAGCCTGAAAGTCTATCAGAAGTGAAAGAGAGTCTTTGAGGTATGGTAGGAGGTTAATGTCATTGATGCAGGCTAACTGGACTTCTTTCTATTAACCTCCCTGGGCTTCATCTTATTCACCTAAAATAATGGTAACAAAACTTCTCTAAACATGTCACAGTATCTTTAAGAAGATTGAATGAAAGAACACATAAAAGCATTTTCTTTTATAAATTTATGTATTCGGTTTTTTTGTTTTAACTTATTTTAGAGAGAGAGAGAGAGAGTTAATGAACAGGGGAGAAAGAGAGAGAGAGAGAGAGAGAGAGAGAGAGAGAGAGAGAGAGATCTGAAGCAGGCTCCACACTCAGCCAGGAGCCCAACACAGGGATCCATCCCAACAACCCTGGGATCATGACCTGAGTTGAAATCAAGAGTCGGACACTCATCTGACTGGGTCACTCAGGCGCCCCTATACGCATTTTCTTTAAAAACAGGAAGAAAAGGGTTAAAGTTCTAAAAATATTTAAAGGCACTGTTTGGCTACAAGGATGCTATTCCTGTAGAGGAAGTTTCTTTCAGATTCGATATGCCTTTGCCTGAGAATTGCTGGATGTGCTGGTAGCATTGTACAAAGGGTAAGAAATCTTATGACTGACTGCTAGAAAGGTAAGCTGAGTACAGATAAGAAGTAGTATAAAAAATGTCAGAAGCTTATTTAGTGTTTTTTTGTGTGTGATCCAATTTTGAAAAATAGCTTCCTCGTCAGTAAGGATAGTCTCTGAATTCTACTGGGGAAAGAAATAGCCCTGTTTCTCTCAAGTGAAAAACAACTCTAACTTCTCTTTTAGATATGACCTTGAATAATTTCAGATACACCCACTTAATTTAGCCTATCTGACACCTACTTGATTCTAATGGTTAGACTATATACCCCACTGAGTTCCCGAAAAGCAATATTTTCCAGTAAGGGGTTGAAACCATTGGGGGAGTCTCTTAGATTCAGCATTTAACTACCATTATTAAAGAACAACTTTGGGGGCGCCTGGGTGGCTCAGTCGGTTAAGCGTCCGACTTCGGCTCAGGTCATGATCTCACAGTTTGTGAGTTCAAGCCCCGCGTCGGGCTCTTTGCTGACAGCTCAGAGCCTGGAGCCTGCTTCCCACTCTGTGTCTCCCTCTCTCTCTGCCCCTTCCCTGCTCATGCTGTGTCTCTCTCTGTCTCAAAAATAAATAAACATTAAAAAAAAAAAACAAAGAACAACTTTGTTCTATTTAAGTGGCCTAAATTAGTTTACGGCTGGGATGATGTGTCCCCCTATTACTAACTGAGATGTCTCAGACAAGGACATTTCATGAGACTGGCATGAAATAAATACTCAGTGTTTACTATAAGGACTTTATTTGAGGGCAATCAAAGTTTTTGTCCTTGCCATGTTTAAGAGTTATTGCTTCTTTGGGCTTTGGTGTATCATTAGCATACCCACTATAATCTGACTCTAATTTGGGCTGTTTACTCCAAGAGACTTTGACTTCTTGTCTTCTTGTTCTTCCATGTTCTTCTACTTCTCTATGTCAATAAGAATTTCTTCCGAGTTTGTTCTCCCACAAGATTTTTTTTCATGATACTAGTGGACATTTGGGTAACCGATGCAATACAATGTGGTAAGTCATTGTATATTAACTACAGGATGTGGATTACTTCTCCTAGATGCCAACAAAGACCCTACTATACAGCAGGTCATCAATAAACATTACTGAATCCATAAAGTAGGCTTGGAGGCCACCTGATCTCTACCACTTCAGAGAAGATGACCTCATTTCTTAACCATTCCTGCCTCCTATTTCCTTTCTCTTCCATCCCTGTTGAGGATTTCATTTTTCATTGTTTTCTCTGTGTAAGCCACATTAAAGAAGGGAGAAGAAGAGAATGAATCTCAAGTCAGATCATCTTACTATTTTCCAACAGCATTGCAGGGGAGGGGTAAAACTAAATCACAAAGGAAGCCGAAATTAATAGTTAAAATTTAGTTTTGAATTAC